GGATCCGCAACCTGGAGAGGGAAAAACAGGAAGGCTGGGAGGTAACGCGGGCCCGGGAGGAGGAAGGCCAGGGCCAAGTGGGGCTGGGAGCCCACGACCATCCCCGGGGGACACAGGGGTGCCCCTCATCAGGAGACACCTGGGGTGTGGGTAACCTCTGTGCATGTTCCTCACATCCTGCCCATCCACCTTGTCCACCTTGAGCTGCCTGACTGGTTCCTCACCTGGAGCCCATTTCATGGACATCAGGGGGCCCTACTCGGGCTGTTCTGGAGATGCTGGACTTGAAGCCAGCTCTTGGTGGGGTGAGGTTCTTCAGTTTGAACCCCAGACTTGGCCCTGTGTGCTGAAGTGTGGCTTTCTTCTTTTCCCCACTCAGGCTGGGGTTGGGGACACACCCAGCGTGGGCTAGTAGGTTTCCTCTCGTGTCTGACTCTGGCCCTGTGTTCTCGGGCTGAGGGGAGGAGGGCTGCCACCCATCAGTGACATCCATCGTGTGCTCGGGCCACTTGACCTCCCTGGGAGGCCAGGGCTGGGAGTCAGGGCTCGGCTCTCCTGACTTGCTCAGTGGCCTCGACGAGTCCCAGGCCCAGCCCTGGCCTCCCCAGCAAGCGGGAGCGAGGGCCCAGCCGTTGCCCAGGTCTGCTCAGCCCCGCTGCCCATAACCGCGCTCTCGCATTACAGAAACTTGCAGCGGAGCGCGACGTCCTCCAGAGAGAGCTCGAAGAGCTGAAAAAGAAGTTTGAAGGCATGCGGTCCCGGAACAGGGTGCTGTCGAGCGAAGTGAAGACCCTCAGGAGTCAGATGGGGACCCTCGTGGAGAAGGGCCGGCACGACGACGAGCTCATCGACGCCCTCGTGGTGCGTGCCCCCCAAGACCCCGCCCCAAGAGTCTTGTCACCCACCCGGCCACTGTGGGCCCAGGAGCCCTTTGCCGCCTCTGGTCCCGACCCCAAGCCCCGCCCCAGGGACAGGAGCAGCTCAGAGGCTGCCTGAGGGCCAGGAGAGGCCGATGCCAGCATGAGCCACTGGGCCTGTGGACCCCAAAGGAGAAAGAAGAGGACGACGGGGTAGCAGATGGGGTTACACCCTGGGTTACTTCTCATCGAGGAATGGAAGGGACAACCGGGGGGGGGGG